GACGATAAGGTGGGGAGATAAATGAACAAGAGGAAGAGGATTGGGGAGGTAGAAGGAGACGACCACGACGACAACGACCACAACGATCAATAAACCAACCTCCGCTCAGAGGGCTGGTGTGACTTCCCTTGGGAGTAAACTTCCTTCTCTTGCGGATCTCTCTGAGACCCTTGATTGCTGCAGCCTCCCCGCCAGGCCCTGCGCGTCGTATACTCAGTCCCCTCTGCTCTCCCCCCGCCCGCTCCACTCCCGCACGTCTTCCCTCGCCTCCTGATCCTTCGAGCCCCAGCACTCCCCGCCGCGTGCGCCGCTCGACGCTACCGATCAGACCAGCGCGCCCCAGAAGCAAGAAAAGCCTCACAAACATGAATGTCCGGAGCTCCGCGCGGGTGTCTTGGATCTGCGCCTGGGCCCCCTTGGCGGCGCCTCTGGCGCCGCACCTGGCGCGCTCCGCACGCCAGGGAGGGGGTCCAGCGCCGATCCAAGAAATCCGTGCGGAACTCCGAAAGTTTTGGTTTATGTTTTTTCGTCTTCCAGATACCACAGCTAAGTCGGGCACGGAGGAGTACCAAAAAATAGTTACAACATAGTCTGGGGACGATGTTTCGAGGATTTTTTCCTAAATTGCACATGTCTGGACTATTTTACATTTTTTGTCCAAAATCTGCATGGAGGGGGACATGCCCGACCTAATTCAAGGGATGAAAAACCACCCGGACCGGACAATTGGCGTTTACTGAACGATCTTGGGCGTTTACTAAACAGCCCCGCCCTGTTCGATTCCTTCTTTGGGTGCGTTTACTAAACGGCTTCGCTTGCCGGGGTGGTTATCATCGGGGTGGATTTTCTGCCTTCTATTCATACCACAGCCGAGCGGCGTTCGCCCACCGCGCCCAGCGCCCAGCGCCAGCGCTCGCCCAGCGCAGCGGCCCAGCGCCCGAGCGCCAGCGCAGCGGCCCATCGCGGCGCGCCACGCCCGGCCCCTCGCGCGGAGCGGCGAGCGAGCCGTGCTCCGGCCTCCTTCTCCTCCTCCTCCTCCTCCTTCTCCTCCTCCCCCTCCTTCTCCCCCTCCTCCTCCTCCTTCTCCTCCGCCGCCGCCGGCGGGCGAGCCGGACGGTCGCGCGGCCTCGCAAGCAACGGCGAAGCGTCTAGGCTCGCCTAGAGGCCCACCAGAGCAGGGCTTGGTTCGATGCCTCCGGTTCGATTCGGTTCGATTTCGAGGGCTTCCGATTCCGATTCGATTCGACCTGGGATTCCGATTGGGGCTCTGGTTTCTTCTTGGAGGCATATTAGCCGGCCAATTTCCGCCGATTCGATTCTTCCCGACTCGGCTGCCGATATCCGCCGATCCGATTCAACCCGATCGCCGAGCCGACTTCTCGATTCCTGCCGAAGAATGTTATATAGCCTTGTGTGGTCTGCGCGAACAGTTCTTAGAACATGTCTGACGGAGTCCGTCGTGTTTTAGCACATCGGTTTTCTTATGCTCTAAGAGCATTCAATTATTGTGTTGCAAGATGTGCTGGTGCCAAGCCATATGTTTTTGTTCCTCGACGTGGGCCTCTGGGTAGGCTTAAGTCGGGCCCGTCCTTCGACAGGAGGAATATTCAACAATAGTTTAAACTTACCCTGTGACGCACCAAACCCTTTCTATACATGTGGCGATTGTACTCAGGACCGCTCAATGCCGACTGGCATTCTGAAGGACCCGCAGTGCGCAGGAAGAGCACCCAGCAGTGAATTCAGAAGAGCGCAGCAAGAAGAGGAACGGCAAATATACAAAATGGAAGCACAGGGGCGTTGAAAGAAACTCGCCCAAAAAGTGAACACAAAAGGGCGCGGCGGCGAGGGCTAAAACAGAACATCAGTTTAACTTAGCAACGTGCTGCGCTGAGCGGGGCAAATGCATGAGGTGCATAACGGGGGTGGAGACTCATCTAGAAGTGGAGACAGAAGGGCGCGGCAGCGAACCCAAAGAGAAGCACCCAAAAGTGGAATCAAAAGATCGCGGTCGCGAGAATAAGCAGGAGCCCACAGAAGTGGACGCAGGAGGGCGCGGTAGAAAAAGCGGCCAAAAGTGGTTACAGAAGAGCGCGGAAGCAAACGCACTGAGACCTCCCCAAGAAGTGGAGAGAAAAAGGGCGCGGCACCGGCAGTAATCGAAAGCACCCAAAAGTGGAGACAAAAGGGCGCGGCCATCGGCGCCGGCCGCGCCTAAAAGGGCACGGCCGTCGGCGCCGGCTTCCCGAGGTGGTCCGCGTATGACGCACCTCCGCTGGGCCTCCCAGGAGCCCACGAAAGTGGCGACAGCTGTGCAGATCGCAAGCCCCCCAGGGGGCGGCGAGGTCCCGAGGTGTTCCGCGTATGACGTACCTCCGCTGGGCCTCCCAGGAGCCCACGAAAGTGGCAACAGTTGCGCGGATCGCAAGCCCCCCAAGGGGGCGGCGAGGTCCCGAGATGGTCTGCGTATGACGTACCTCCGCTGGGCCTCCCAGGAGCCCACGAAAGTGGCAACAGTTGGGCAGATCGCAAGCCCCCCAGGGGGCGGCGAGGTCCCGAGGTGGTCCGCGTATGACGTACCTCCGCTGGGCCCCCAGGAGCCCACGAAAGTTGCAACAGTTGCGCAGATCGCGAGCCCCCCAGGGGGCAGCGAGGTCCCGAGGCGGTCCGCGTATGACGTACCTCCGCTGGGCCTCCCAGGAGCCCACGAAAGTGGCGACAGCTGCGCAGATTGCAATCCCCCTAGGGGGCGGCGGGGTCCCGAGGTGGTCCGCGTATGACGCACCTCCGCTGGGCCTCCCAGGAGCCCACGAAAGTGGCGACAGTTGCGCAGATCGCAAGCCCCCCAGGGGGCAGCGAGGTCCCGAGGTGGTCTGCGTATGACGTACCTCCGCTGGACCTCCCAGGAGCCCACGAAAGTGGCGACAGTTGCGCAGATCGCAGCCCGACTGCACGAGAGAAGGGGAGAGGGGAACACAGGAAAAAGGAGAGAAGGAGGAGGGGAGGAGAGGGGAGGAGGAGGAAGGACGGGGCACACTGCTCTATTCAAAACGAGAACCCAACACAGGAGGGTTGGGAAAAATTAGCCTGGCGAAGGACCCAACCATATGCAGTTGTGAGTAATGCTGGTGTGAGTACCGTCTTCGGTGGATCTCCCTATGGGGCCACGAACCGTTTGAGGGGTGTGCCGAAATGGGTGTGGGGGCGGCATGCGAACGTTGCCACTGGGGCCTTCGGTGGAGCTCCTTATGGGGCCACGAAACGTGTGAGGGGTGCACCGAAGTTGGTGTGGGGGCGGCATGCGAACGCAGCCACTGGGGCCTTCGGTGGAGCTCCCTGTGGGGCCACGAAACGTGTGAGGGGTGTGCCGAAATTGGTGTGGGGGCGGCATGCGAACGCAGCCACTGGGGCCTTCGGTGGAGCTCCCTATGGTGCCACGAAACGTGTGAGGGGTGTGCCGAAATGGGTGTGGGGGCGCATGCGAACCCAGTCACTGGGGCCTTCAGTGGAAATCCCCATGGGGCCACGAAACGTGTGAGGGATGTGCCGAATGGGTGTTGGGGAGGCATACGAACCAGGCCACTGGGGCCTTCGGTGGAGCTCCCTATGGGGCCACGAAACGTGTGAGGGGTGTGCCGAAATGGGTGGTGGGGAGGCATGCGAACCCTGCCACTGGGGCCTTCGGTGGAGCTCCCTATGGGGCCACGAAACGTGTGAGGGTGTGCCGAAATGGGTGGTGGGGAGGCATGCGGACCCTGCCACTGGGGCCTTCGGTGGAGCTCCCTATGGGGCCACGAACGTGTGAGGGGTGTGCCGAAATGGGTGGTGGGGAGGCATGCGACCCTGCCACTGGGGCCTTCGGTGGAGTATGGGGCCACGAAACGTGTGAGGGGTGTGCCGAAATGGTGGTGGGGAGGCATGCGGACCCTGCCACTGGGGCCTTCGGTGGAGCTCCCTATGGGGCCACGAAACGTGTGAGGGGTGTGCCGAAATGAGTGGTGGGGAGGCATGCGGGCCCTGCCGCTGGGGCCTTCGGTGGAGCTCCCTATGGGGCCACCAAACGTGTGAGGGGTGTGCCGAAATGGGTGGTGGGGAGGCACGCGGACCCTGCCACTGGGGCCTTCGGTGGAGCTCCCTATGGGGCCACGAAACGGACCCTGCCACTGAGGCATTCGGTGGAGCTCCCTATGGAGCCACGAAACGTGTGAGGGTGTGCCGAAATGGGTGGTGGGGAGGCATGCGGACCCTGCCACTGGGGCCTTCGGTGGAGCTCCCTATGGGGCCACGAAACGTGTGAGGGGTGTGCCGAAATGGGTGGTGGGGAGGCATGCGGAGCCTGCCACTGGGGCCTTCGGTGGAGCTCCCTATGGGGCCACGAAACGTGTGAGGGGTGTGCCGAAATGGGTGGTGGGGAGGCATGCGGACCCTGCCACAGCCTATGGGGCCTTCGGTGGAGCTCCCTATGGGGCCACGAAACGTGTGAGGGGTGTGCCGAAATCGGTGGTGATGATGATGATGATGATGATGATGAGATGATGATGATGATGATGATGATGATGATGATGACGAGACGATGACGATGACGATGATGACGATGATGATGATGATGATGATGATGATGATGATGATGATGATGATGATGATGATGATGATGATGATGATGATGATGATGATGATGATGGTGATGGAGGAGGGAGGGGGGGGGGAGGAGGAGGAGGTGAGGAACGCGGGGCGCCGTCTCTTCAAAACGAGGACCCAACACCACAGGACGGTTGGGAATAATAGGGGGATGATGATTCGACTCTTATTGTTTATTTTGAAGCATGTTTGACTATTTTTCATTTTTCGTCCAAAATCCGCCTGTAGAGGGACATGCCCGACCGAATGGTAGGCATTCAGGAATGTCGGGACGGCCGGTCCCTGCTCAAGCCCCTGCCTTCGGGGAGGCGGCGGCCCCCGCGCGGCCGCGAGCCGCGGGCCCCGCGCGGCGCGCGCCGCAGGTTCCTCAAGGGCAAGGGGATCACGCAGATCGCGGTCTACGGCCCGGCGCCCGCTTCTTCCCCAGACCCCCTCGTCGGGGGCGGCAAAGAGGGGGGGGGGGGGACCGGGGGGGGGGGGGGGGGAGCTCATGGCGTGGGCCATGATATTTCCTGGGATTTCATGGCGCCTCTTCTTATTCCATTACGTCCCTGGCCCCCCCCCCTTGGGCCGCGCACATGCCGCTGGCCATGGTTTGCGCTGCCCCCTCTTGGACGCCCCCCTCTGGGCCGCCCCCGACAATGAGAATACCACGACGGGATGTGTTTCCGAATGTTCCCCCTCTGGGGGCACTTGCCGAGCCTCGGGGCCGCCCAAAAAAAAGACGCAGGATGAGAAGCCGGTCCAGGGGAAAGGGTGGAGACATTTGGGGGTCGACGTTGTGAACAACAACCACGACGTCGGGGGTCTGGGGGTGCTGCTGCTTCTGCTGCCGTTTCATACACTGTCGCAATGCGACGCCCGTGAGCGTTCGTCGCGGAGGAGGAGGAGGAGGAGGAGGAGGAGGAGGAGGAGGAGGAGGACGAGGAGGCTCGCTTCCTCGGGCACACGGGGGTTATCCTCAGATCGCGGTCTGCGGTCCAGCGCCCCGTCTGCTGTCTGACACAGCCTGAGACACTCCTCGGGGCAAGGGGGTCGCGCAGATTGCGTTTTCTGGCCTGGTGTCCCTCCTCTCATCTCTCGGGCAGCTGGGGGCATTCCTTGGCCCCCGCGCCCTTTGGATATTATCAGAGGCAGACGAACCACGGAACAGGGCTGGTAGAGATGGATCGTTTGCCCGTTATTCTCGATCCTTTCCTACACCCGCCTCGCCCGTCCGTCATTGCTCGCCCGCGGCAGATGGGAAGGAGGGGAGAGGAGAAGGAGGAGGAGGAGGAGGAGGAGGAAGAGGCGGAGGCGGAGGATGAGGCGGAGGAGGAGGAGGAGGAGGAGGAGGAGACGGAGGGAGGAGAGGAGGAGGAGGAGGGGAGGAGGAGAGGGAGGAGGGAGGAGGGAGGAGGGAGGAGGGAGGAGGGAGGAGGGAGGAGGGAGGAGGGAGGAGGGAGGAGGGAGGGAGGAGGGAGGAAGGAGGAGGAGGAGGGAAGGAGGGAGGAGGGGAGGGAGGGAGGAGGGAGGAGGGAGGAGGGAGGAGGGAGGAGGAGGAGGAGGAGGGGAGGAGGGAGGAGGGAGGATGGGAGGAGGGAGGAGGGAGAGGGAGGAGGGAGGAGGGAGGAGGGAGGAGGGAGGAGGGAGGAGGGAGGAGGGAGGAGGGAGGAGGGAGAAGAGGAGGAGGAGGAGGGAGGAGGAGGAGGAGGAGGAGGAGGAGGGGAGGAGGAGGAGGAGGAGGAGGAGGGGGGGGGGGTTGCAGCAGCAGCAGCAGGAGAAGGAGGAGGAGGAGGAGGAGGAGGAGGAGGAGGAGGAGGTTTCTTCCAGAAGCAGCAAGCCGACACGTGATTTAGTTGACCCTTGGCCCTGATCAATACAAGGCTTGGAATTCGTTTGAATGAAGCACAGTTTCCTTTCGGGGCATTGTTTCATTGGTGGTGAATGAACGGGGAGGGTGCTGAGGACGGGTCGGAGGAGAAGGGAGTCGGAGGACGGGGAGAGGAGTGGGAGAAAGGGGAAGGGATAGAGGTTGGGAGGAGGAGGAGGAGAAGGAGGAGGAGGACGAGGACGAGGACGAGGAGGAGGAGGACGAGGACGAGGAGGAGGAGGAGGAGGAGGACGAGGAGGAGGTCATTTCCGCGAGGCCATTTCGCCCCAGGTCAAGCAAAACCCCGTCAGGGCACGGTTGACAGCAGCCAGCCCGGCGGACGACGACTGGAACACGAACGAGTCGTCCACGAATTGGAGATCAGGAGCGCATGCGCGGCCACGACATCGAGTAAGGCACACCTGTCCGCGAAAGTACCGAGCGCCTGGAGATGCTGGTCCCAGCGGGGCACCCCAGGCCGCATCGATACCAGCAGCTCCTCGGCGCGAACTGCCCCCCAAGCTATTTCCGTGCCCGGCGCGGGAGGGGCGGCCTGATTGCACTCGTGGAGCGCGCGAGTCGCCGCCGCCGGCGGGGCGATGCCGACGCCAACGGCCACGGCGGAGCAAGCGTCCAACAATGCTCGTACCAGCGCGCTGAACATGTGCACTCCCGCCCGGCGGCCCTGCCCGACGCCGAACTCAGGAAGGACAGGCGCAGCCCCCACAATCCCGCCGACACGCACCCGAATCGTTTCGGATCCCAGGGCCGCATCAGCAACCAGCCAGAGGTGCCCCCCCCAACCCGGCGCGTCGCAAGTGCACTCGTACGGCATCCCGCCAAGCAAGGCCGTACCCATGTTCCAGGTCAGCCTTCTCCACGAGGGTGGACAGCCCGTGCGCCCTACGGATCTGCAGCGCCATGACCATGCCGATCACCATCAGGACGGAGTCGTACTTCCCTCCCGCCTGGGGTGCGCCCGCATACGCCTCCAGCTGGCCTCGGGCAGCCCGAAGCCACACGGCGTCGAACGTCCCGCATAGCTCGTCCATAGCTGACGGGGCGGAGGTGGGCGACGTCGGACACTACCACGGGGCCGCGTTTCCGGATGGGCGCGACCTCACGCCACCATCCACTTGGCATGAGGCCCGAAACCGCCACCAAACACACCAACGCCCATGTGACGAGCCTCCCACCCCAGAGTTCGGTGAGGACGGCCGCACGCGGGAGGTGCAGGGAGCGCCGGTTCCCCTTCATCTCCCTGAGGACCGCGTCGACGTCATCCAAGGAGAACGGGTCATGCATGCCCAAACCTGCTGCCTCCGCTTGAGCTTCCCTGCGTGCCTGACGGACCTCATCGGCCACGGCGCGATTGAAGGCTGCGTCGCCGGCCCCAGCCTGTGCCCCGCGTGACAATACATCCTCGGTGATGACCTCCAGCGCGTCGGCCACCCCCAATACGTCGCCAGACACCTGGCGACGCAGGGCCAACTGTACCGGCAGGCGGGGCTCCAATGCGCGACTCATGAAACTTTCCGCCTCCCCTGGCGACGCCGCTGCGAGTTCGAGGTACCGGTCGAGAGCTCTGGTGGCGGCCGGGTCGGAGGAGAGCCAGCTGCGACAACGTCGGTGAGACAACGCCGGCCGAAATCCGCTCAAAAAGGGCCCCTGGATCCCCCCAGGGATCCGAACGCACGACGACGACGACGACGACGACGGACGACGACGACGACGACGACGACGACGACGACGACGACGACGACGACGACGACGACGACGACGACGACGACGACCAGCTTCCCGAGCCGCGCCCAGCCAGGGCGACGAGGGCAAGGCCGCAGGGGGGGGTCACGTAAGAAGCAAATCGGGCCCACTTCTTGCCGTTGGATGACCCCCCCTCCCCGCGGCACCAGGAGGGCGCCGGGCGCGGGCCGCGGCGGCCGCGGGGGGGGGGGGGGCACCTGCGCAACTAATTTGGCCCAAATCCAGTCCTCAGGTGAGCCCCAGCGCCCCCCAAGGGCAGGAAGGCGCCCTCTGCCACGCCCGGCCCTCCGCCGACTTGTCGGGCGGGCGCGCCCGCCTCGCCAGCGACGGCCGCGGCCTGGGCCGCCCGAAGCTCCCCGGCCCATTCGCCCTTGCCGTCGTCGTCGCGGCCCTCACCGGCAGCGCCCGCTCCCCGAGGCTGGCCGCGCGGCCCGTGCGCAACCGCCATACCCGCAAAATAACCAGCGAGAGTGTAGACAACAGCCCTCCACCATACCACCCAGTCGAGCAGGCCCTGCCGCGTGCCCCGGCAGCGCCCCTCGACTGCCCAGCGACGGACGACGGCTGACCGCATGGCCGTACCTGCCCAGCCCACCAGAAATCGAAGGGCAAGTGGTGCCAGTAGCAAGGCCTCCCCCCCAGTCGGCGTAACGGTCCCACCTCGCGAAGCCCACTTCCGACTCCCCCGTGCAATCCACCACCCCCGCGACCGATACGTCGACCTGGCGATGATCGCTGCGCATCCCTGCGTCCGCGGGCGCCACCACTTTGACCTCCGCCACCAGTTCCGGCGACGAGGCCACAACGTCGATGATGGACCCCGACGCGTGCGTCGGGCACCCAACAGGGTTGCGGACCACAGACCCGAAATCGAACGCGTCGTGCAACCACCGCCACACATCGCGATCAAAATTCTCCTCCAGGCGCTTGTTGATACCGCCCAACGCCGAAACATTTAGATTGAAGTCGCCCGCCACCAAGAACGACCAGCCGAGATAGCACGGGCGGGCGCGGAGCTGGCGCCACTCCTCCAGTCGAGTCCTCCAGAAAGCTGGCGCCACTCCTCCACGCGACGGCCGATCTCGTCCAGGACGAGTAGCGCGACAGTGTCCGGAAGTGCACAGCGTTCACCGTGGTACGCGTACCCTGCCCAGCGGGGCCAGAGGCTGCCGGGGGCCAGCCTCGGCTCGGAGAGGACTGCTAGGACCGCCCCTCTGCTGTGGAATGATACGACAAGATCGCCAATCCTGCCCTCATGAGGTCCTTCACCACGTCTGGAACCCGGCCCGCCCTGCACGTTGAATGCGGATACTGCTAGATTCAAGGCGCGCGCTGGCACTGCCGCGCCCTGCGCCAGCTCGTGGGCCGGCAAACCCCCCTGCCAAGCCCCGTACACGGAATTGATGGGGACGTCCCTCGCCTGCCAAGCCATCCGGGCTTCCACTCGAAGGCACGCTTCACGCGCCGCCCCATCAAAAATCCGAAACGCTTCCAATTCTGGGGGTACGCCGGAGAGACCGTGCAGGGGCTGCGCTCCCAGGAGGAGGGCCCGCGCGTCCCGCCTGCAGCAGAGCGCTCTCCATGCCCCCGCGCGGCCGCTGCCACCTGGAAGCACCCTCTCGGCCAACTCCCGGATTTCAGCCGCCGCGCGACTTGCCTCCTCACGGGTCGCCCAGCTACCCAGCGTGGCCGCATCAGGGGGGCCCGCCCCGACGCCACCACCCGACGCGCCCGCCATGGCGCGCTCCGCGGGTGGGGGATATCCTGACCCCGCCGAGCAGTGCCATGCGCGAGCTGGGCCGAAACCTGGCAGCAGAAAAGGTAGCGAGAAATGCCATTCCACCCCCCCGCGCCTGCCGGGCCTCCTGGCGGGGCAAACGTCACCGCGGGCACAGCCCTACAACGCCACGCACGCACAACCTCGCAACGCAGGGTGGGAGCACGACGACAGAGAACCGAGAAGACGCCCCGCGCGGATCATAACCTCCTTACCGGCAGAGGTCGCAGGAGGGCATGGATTACCTCATGTGGGCGTGGATCGGTCCTCCAGAGCGGATGGAGCGGTACACCGAAATTAACATGAACCTCGCCCGCACGCGCAGTCATGCAGGGGAGGAGATAGAGAGATAGGGGCCCGGTCGCCGGTGCTGAGCCTTCCGCCCCGTCGGGCTCCTCCCCCCAGGGTGGCCGGGGGGGACTGTGTTTTCCCCGCGGGGAAAACATGGTGCGTTTGGCCGCCCTGGGGCGGAGCCTCGGGGGCGCCATGGCCGGCCGCCGATGCTGGGTTCCGCGCCCCGCCGGGGCCGGAGCGACCGCGATTTTCCCGCGGGGAAAACACGGTCGCCCCGGCCACCTGGGAAGGGGGCCTCTCGGGGCCTCGGGAACGCCGGGGTTGGCCGCCGGCGCCGGGCTCTGCGCCCACCGGCACCGCCTGGCGTGACCCGGGCGTCTGCGCTTTCCCCGCGGGGAAAACGCGGAGAGTCCGGCCGGTCCGGGGGGAAGGAGGAAGGAGGAAAGAGGAGGAGGGGAGACCGGAGGAGCAGGAGAAGACAGGGGGGAGGAGGCTATATAGGAGGAGGAGGAGGAGGAGGAGGAGGAGGAGGAGGAGGAGGAGGAGGAGGAGGAGAAGGAGGGGGGGAGAGAGGAGGAGCGCGCAAGTTTTTTGAGGACCGCGGCGCGCACCCGCCCAGCGTACACTGGCCGGCCAACGTCCCACCCAGCGGCCCCAACCTGCTGACTATTAAAGATAGATGCTAATAAGGGCGCGTGTGCAAATTCGCGCCCCACCCGCGGTCCTGCGCAAAAAATGGCCGACCGCCGCTCCGGACGCCCATCCAGACAGGGCCGCGGCGCCCTACCCCGCGGCGCCCGATGCCGCAGCGGCCTGGAGGTACTGCATCACCGACGTCGGGGCCACGTTCGGCTGGCCGGCGGTCACCCGGGCCATTGGGCCAAAGGCCCCAACCCGCTGCACGAGCAAGTCCAGGAAGTTCTGCTTGACCCCCACTGCCACCACGGTGTACGCGAGGCTATATTGTATTGGATAGATACCGCCGAGGGCTTGACGGGCGCGCGGGCACCCAGAGGCGGTGCACGTTAGTACGGGCGTCACCGCCCTTCTCCGCCCACCAGGCCGTCGAGCCAGGGGGCTTCTTCCACACCCGGCTCTCCGCCTCCACCAGGGTCTGCACGGGGACTTGCGGCCCCGCTGCTCCATGGAATGCTTGGATGCGCCGCGCCACGTCCATGGTGTCCGCCCCTGGCCGCTCGAACGACACGTGCACCTGCGGAGCGCCTCCCGCTCCACTGCCCCCTGGCGAAGTGCAGGAGGTCAGGCGCCTCCGGAAGTCCTCCACCGCGGTGGACAGGGCGGCCGTGTCCTTCGTGTTGAAGTGGGGGGTCGAAGCCGCCGCGTCTGGACCCGCTGGCGTTGGCCCAGCTGGCTGGGCACTCGCCTGGGCCCTCGCCGTCGCCTGTTTGACCACCTTGAGGACCTCCTCCCCCCGCCGCCGGTGACATGCCTACGCGGTCGATGGTATCAGCCACCTGGCGGAGGCTGGACACCAAGTTCGCCACCACGTCCTTCTTCTCCTCGGCCTTAGTCGCTGCCTGCACCTGCGCCCAGCCGCGGCCTCACGCCCCGCAAGCCGCGAGGTCCAAACCGCAAGCGTACCGGAGGGCACCCGGCGCGGCGGCCCCGGGCCCCTCAGTGGCCCCAGGGGGGCACTTCCCGGGCCCGCCCGGCCAAGCCACCGATGCCGCGGCCGCGGCCGGCGACTTCTGCATGGTCCCGCGCGGTCCTTCCCACGACGCGGGGGCATAGCCCGTGCATCCGCACGAGGGCCACCGCCAACGCTGGCGTCGTGTGGCGGGCCCAGCCCCTGCGGGAAGCTTGGCACGTGGGGCGGCTGCCCGGGTCTCTGCGGCTGCGCGCCCACGGCTGCGCCGCCCGTGGCGTGCGGCAGGGGCCGCGGCACGAATGGTGCGGTTGGACCCGCGGGTACTCCGGGCGGCCCCTCCCACGAGGCGGGGGGCATCATAGCGCGTGCATCCGCCCGAAGGCCACCGCCAACGCTGGCGTCGCGTGGCGGGCCAAGCCCCTGCGGGAGGCCCAGCGCGTAGAGGGGCTGCGCGTGGAGCTGGGGCAGCGCGCCCATTGCTATGCCGCCCACGTCCTTCGTCGGGTTGGGCGGCGCACCCGCGGCGTGCGGCAGGGGCTGCGGCGCGAACGGTGCGGTAGGACCCG